CTTTGTCGTTCGAGGGTTAAAAGTAGAGTAAAAAGTGTCGCTACTTCGCTCGCTCGTCAAAAACTTTTATACGCTTGCAAAAACGCATCGATCAATTGCTTTCGACGACAGACTCGCCAGCCAATCCGTAGCCTCGTGCTTTAACCGAAATATTTTACCCCGTTGCCGACTGATTTTGTCGGTTGGCGCCGAGATTTCATGCTAGGTACAATTATCCTGTAAGTATCCGTAACTCTGTTATTATCACGGTGCGAGCGATAAAAGAGCAGGATCTTTATCGCGTTCTAACAACGCTGGCCTTGAAAAACCCTACGAGACGAAAATTCGATATTCTAAGCTTCTTGCGCTGCCGATCGCGACATCGGTAACGTCGTTAACGAGCGCCAAGATGTCACGATAAGATTCGAACGGCACCGGGGAACGTCCTAACGCACGGGGCACAGGAATTTCCATACGAAAAGGCGACGGGAGCCAGTCTAGGTACAAGGGCAAACAGAAAGATATCAGCCATCTGACTCTACCGTGAAAGACAAAGACTCTTATCGAGAGTGTACCGTTTCATGGTGGTAGTCGCGTCTATACGTCTACTTATACACGTTCACGCCAGCCTGTACCCTCGTCGAGTTATTCGTTTCGGTGTAGATAGGCGCGCACGGCCACGAGCCAGCCAGCCAGCCAGCCAGCAACGAGAAAAAGAGTACGTATAGGTACACGACTGATCTCGACTAAGATTATAAAATGGCGACCCTCACCCCCCGGCTCGGCTGTTCTTAATTTCGCTCCAATCCTTTTGTCCCCTCCTACTCAGCCTGCTTTCTCCGCCGTTCCCTTCTCATCTCCTCCGCGCCCGTCTTCTTCTCCTTTTTTTCTCTGCTTCTTTTCGCTCGCTCGCTCGCCTACTCCACCTACTTCCTCCTTCGCCTTTCGCAAACGGCACAACTCCCGAGACGATGCCAAAGGAAGTCGCCGAACAGAGGCCAACGAATTCTTTTACGCGACGATTCCAACGAATAGAAACCGTGGCCATCGTTGCGTTGTAACCGTGGAAATGGATTCGCGGATACGACGCCGGATGATCGTCGCGTATAATGCCACCGCATACTTAAACAGAGGGCTGGCTCTTTGTCGTTGCCTCTGCCGATTCGCTCGTGTCTCGACTGTCTTTGATGAATTTCAGTGTTGCACGTTGGCGAATACCGACTTTCCTCGTGTATTTAACCGCGCGGCATTGGATGATCCGTCTACGAACCAGCTTCAACCAACGAACAAGGAAGAAACCTACTCTTTGTCGTAGTAATCACGCGTCGTTCGACAGTCGCATAAGCTTCTGCCTATTCTCGAGTCCGTATCGCTCCAACGATTCTTACCGATTCGGTGCGTCTTCCTTTCGCGACTAACTCCAAACCATACGCTACGCGTATAATTCGTTGCAGAGCAAATCCTGTCGGTCTGTTCCGCGAGCGTCGTCGCTCGATACGAAGAGACGCGTTCCTCCTCCGTGTTCCTCGCCCGAAGCGATCTTGGAAAAGCGCGAAGTTCACACATGGTCGGGCAAAGATAGATCCCGTGCGGGTTTCTAGAAGCTTCGCTTCTGTCGTCCTGGCAGCGCATCATCGCGGTGTCAACGGCGCATCATCGGCACCCAAGCGAGTAGCAAGAAGTCGGAAGAGCGTCGCGTCGCTCCCTCGGAAGACGTTTCGCGGTACGACGATCGCCATATTGGAGGCGGTCGATCTTCTCGCCAATCGGCGACACAGCTTCAGAAGCGTGGG